GATATATATATATATATATACATACAATTACTCCCATTTTTATGAACCGGAAGCACGAGTACGAGTAATTTATCCGGTCAAGTAAAAAATAAAGTATGTACACCCACTTCCATACTAATGCATAAAACTCTGTCTAGTATTTATCCATGTAAAATGTGATTGCTGGATTAAAGAGTTGTTTGACTTGTATGTGTGATTACCCATAATAATAAGATTGGAGCAATCAGAAACAGCTCCGAGATTTTTCCTCGCCCTCTTTTTTTGCTTTGTTCAAGTGGTCAGTGAATAAACTTTTAGAAAAAAGAAATGTACAACACTTCAAAATGTGCTTAGGCTACAAACAAATTTTAGAAAACAGTAAACAAACAAGGACTGATTCTTTGCTCTAGACGAATAAGATTCATGGAAAAAATGGCAAGACACGAACAACCAAAATACAGATATAGGAAATGACTTTCTCAGATGCAGAAGAACAACAGAAAGATACCAACCACTGATGCACTCCAGCCCTCGATCTGAAATTTGGTGACAGTGATTAAAATTTAAAGAGATGATATTTTTGCAATCTTTGAGATAGGTGAGGCCATGATCAGTGACATCAGAACCAGAAAGATCCAGATGAAGTAAAGATGACCCCTGTGATGAGATGACCTCCATCCATGCATCATCAACAGCAGCCCCATCATATTCTCCCAAGTAAATATCCTATAAAACAAGAACAGAATAATAATAATAATAAATAAATAAATAAGATTAAGCCCTCTAATTTTTTGATCAAGGGTATATTAGATTAACTTCTTGAGTAGCTAGAAAAAAAATTGAAATAAATTTTTCTATAAACTAAATACATAAGTTAATTTACAGAATTTCTCTGCTCAGCTTCTCTAAAAACTTATTTTTAAGTGCATAAACTAGTTTAAATTTATAGAAAAATGTAATTTATTTTTCTTTTTATTTGATTCTAAAAAAAGTTTATTCAATCATGTCATGTGAAATTCTAACCTGGAGGGCACAATCTAGAAAGGCTTGGAGGGAAGCGGGTGTGAGAAAACAGGAGGAAAACACCAATTCGTTGAAAATTCGCTGACACAAGTCTGGTGGGAGTGCAGAAAACGTGTGATGTTTATGTATCTCTATCTCCTGTGAATGGAATGCAGTTGCAGCGATTAGAATCAGATGATCAAAACATGAAGAGAGTAGTTATACTTATAGTAATGGAATTGGAAAGTGAAACATGAGGAGTAGAGTACCTGAGTTATTTTGCGGATGCACAAGTCCAACAAGGGTGGACATTGTTGTTCTTTTGGCAAGAGGAAACGCATACGAGGATGTTTGAACCATCTGCAACATGTTCCTCTGCGAAAGAGAAGGAGGAAATTAACACATAACAAAAATTGCAGCAGTGCTAACTACTAACTAGGACGGTTGAGAAAGAATGAGATGAAACTAGTTAATTGAAGAATGTACCCTGCCATGTCGGTGTAACACGAAAATAATAGAGAAGGAAAGCACAATCAGATTTAACTCTTTCTTTTTATCAGTTTGTGACGTTTGTTTTGTACACCAAATTTTTATTTCATGTGATGTGACGTCGATGACATAAAACAAAAAGTAAAAAATGAAATAAAAGTTTGATTTGTTATTCAAATTGGAGAGAACCGGAAAGAACATAATTCTTTTAAATTAATTTATATTAAATTAATTAGTAAATTTTATAAAATATTCTCATTATTATTTTATTTATTACTATTATTACACTATTTATTTTATAGTTAAATTATTTATTTTAAAAATTAAAAAATATATAAATATATACCATTATTTTAATAATTGATAATGATGGTTATTTATATAATATATAGAAAAATATTCAATTATGTTTGTATATATATAATAATATCACGATATAAACTTTTATTATAAGATTAAAGTTTATTTTAAACGATAAAAATATTTATTTATTATATTTTTATATAAACTTTTTTTTGGGTATATATATAATGTAAAAAAATTAGAATAGTATGTGCGTAATTTATTTATTTTTTAATTTATTTAAAAAGAAATTATACGTCTTTTCCATTGTGTTAATTCCTATAAAAATAAAGTGATATTTTAAATATGACTTCATATCCAAAATGAAATTCATAGAAATAAATTACTTATAATGATATTTTTTTATTATTTACTCTATTTTCTTAAAGTAATGTTCATATCTACCTATTAACGAATATAATTTTAAATAACATCTATACTTATATATAAAAGTAATCGTTTATTTTTGTATATATATTATTTTATAATTTTAACTTTTTAAATAAAAAATATATATACAACAATAAATAATAAAAGTAAAAAAAAAAACAGCATTCAAATTTTATTCTTAATACAGTAATTAAACGGAGAGATAGAGTGCTTTTTTCATGCTTATATTGCTTTAACTTTGACTAATATAATATGTCCTTGTATATCATGAGAATGTGATGCGATATGCTCTTCGCTTATTAAAAAATAATATATATCGTAAATTATTACATTACTCCAAAACTAAATACTAAAAAACACAATAAGTTGACTTTTGATTCTTGAATGAGTGGTTACTCTCCATCCAATTCACTTTTAACCTTGTAAATAAACTATAATTGAAGACATTAACTGTCATATAGTGATGGAATATTGTGGTTAGTAATATTAGTGAATTAGTGAAAATGACGTCCTTCGTCATAAAAAAACTGAAAAATAAAATAAAAATAATGAAATCAAGAAAGTACGTAGTAAATTTTATAATAGTAGAGTAGTAAAATAAATTAGTTAAAAAGTAAAAAGGTAGTTAAAAGATTTAGCTAAAAGAGTAAAATGGTGAAAAGAAATATAAACACCAAAATAAGTTATTTTTATTTCTGTTATTGATTATAAATATAATTTAATTTAATATGTATGATTTTTTTATATTAAATTATACTTTTAATTCCTCTATTTTTATCAATTTTCTGTTTTAATTTCTCTAATTTTAAAAATAAAAAATTTAATTTTTCAATCAAATTAACATTTATTAATAATTAAATTTTAATGTTTATTCATATTTAAATAACGTGTATTTAATAATATGAGATTTAGAGATTAAAAAAATTTAAAAATTTATATAAATAAAATTTATTAATAAAATAAATATTAATTACTCGTTAAAATATATATAAACAAATTTTTTTATAAGATATTTTTAAATTTTAATCTTTACGTTATGAATATTACATTACTTTAATAATGATATATATATCAAATTTTAATAATTGATAATATAAAATTGATAGTAGAATAAAATTTTGTATTTTTAAAAATAAAAAAAAATATTTTAAAATAAAAGATCAAAATTATGGATCAGAAAAAAGAAAAAGAAAAGAAAAAAAAAGGAATTTAGTCAACTTTTTTCCCTTATTCGTACTCAAGCGAATGCGGATACACGTTGTTTTGACAACAACAAAAAGATTCTCTTTTGACCCGAAAATTAATAGTCTCTTCCGCTGCAGATCAATAATATCATATATTAAACTACAAATTATTATGATCGCTATATTAAATTCTGAAGCGTGATTAATTACTTTTCCATACTTAAGCAAGACCACATGCACATAAACAACTTGCATGTTTTTATCGATATATAATTATCAATGCATATCATTATATAAACTTCCAACCATGTGTTTTATAAACAAATCTTGTCATTTGAAGAAATATGTGCTTTTAACTTTTCAAGGTCTTAGTGAAGAGGAAAGGAGCAAACCATGTTATCAACACTGGAATTTGAATCGGTGAGATGAGCTAGCTCAAGCATGTGGTTAAATATTCTATTTCTAAACTTGTATACACAACAAAAACTTAATTCAGATACACAACAAAAATTTATTTTTCTTATGTATCTTAACGTGTACCTAGTCAAGATACACAAAAACTTAATCTTGTTATTTTGTGAGTGAGTGTCCAAATCTAATTTTTTTTTATCAAAAAATTTTTTTTAAAAAGTTGGAGTTTAAATAGCAATTTGGAGTTCCAATAGCAATCCCCTCATTAATTTCACTTTACCAAAAGCATTATCCTCGTTGGCGTGTCTCACTTTACCTAATCAGACTGGTATCACAATATGTCTTGATAAGAGTCGTAATGTTCCAACACAGTAACAAACTTCACCAAGCTGTTTTTGTGCTGAAGAGACAATTGTTTACGGCTGAAAATATAACACAGCCAAGAAGGTATCTGGAGTGACATCTAAGCAAAATAGCAAGGTGCAAAAACATGCAACAAACAACTAGAAATCTGCATGGTGGGAAAGAAAGTTGAACTATGCAAATTCACCAACGGTTGGAAACTTCAAATAGAAAGAATTACCTCAAATTTGAAAAGTTAGTAAAACATGTCAAAAACTGAATCAAGCTCGAGAGCTTCTCCAACTGGCTCCAAAACAGCTAGAGGCTGGAAGACAACAGTATTACAAGAATCCCAAGATGAAAGGGGACAACTGTATTTGTGCACTTTTGATTTCCACATGAAATATATATTACAAGAATCCTATGAATAGAGTTTACAATTTCTATCTTTCAAGAGAACAGGGAAAACTGTAGGTAGTTTCAATCAATAGGGACTTCAACATCCATTTTTAGATCAGATTGGCCAAGAACCTGGGACAAATTAAAATAAAATTTAAAATCAAACATACTAAAATAAAAGAGGAAGAAGAGGCTAAAATAGCGTCTTTTAACACAGAAGTTCTCAGTGGCACTATCAGATTTTGATGCAATGTTTTTTTTTGGGTACCTAATAAACTGTCTCTTTCAAATGCATTTGAAGAAAAAATGTTAAACAAACTAAGAACTTTGATATGCAAGTAGTCAAAATTCTTATAATACAGTTGAAAAAATTGAGATCTCATCATTTGCACAACGCCTACTCAGGCCAAATTTCTGGATCAAGACAGCACCAGAGAAGTTGCTTTTTAACTGTTTTCACACTAGTAAAAATCCCTTTGTGCGAGACAATTTTTTTCCTACTTTTTTGCTCCATTCACTCGTAAGAACAATTTCCAATAACCCACTATTGCAAACGAAGAACCAAGGTAAATAAAATCAAATGACATAAAGTAGATTCCATGATCCACAGGTTTGAAGACCAAATGGAAAAATAAAACGGCTAAAATTTAGCTATTCTTAAATACATGTCCATTTAGGAATTGTCTAGAGGAAACATAACGAAATGTAAAGACCTTAATGAAATCATCCAATGTCAAGTAGGAGTCTTTTGTGTATCCAGCTTCTCTTAGGACCTGGCTGAGGACTTCCTGCAAATCAAAGAACAGGGAACAAAATTAGCCAAATTCCAGTCAAGTCGAAATATTATACAAGCAAACACAACTGAAAACGTGTATGGAGGAAAAAAAATATATCATTTTGTTAAATGGAAATGCAATTAATCCATAGCCTATAGGTAATACAAAAAGTAGAAACCAACTGGATCATACAAAAACTTGAGAAATTTATTGGTTATCACTTTAGCCATTAACTTCCCCGTAGAGAACATGCAAAATAAGTTTTACCAAGAAATCAAAACTAACAACCCAAATTATATTGTGAAGACGTTCTACATGTAACAAATAATGAATATACTGATCCTAGGAAACTAGATGTACTAAACTCAGACTTCATGAAACTTGAAATAGGGATGTCAAACTGTTAGGTGGTAACAATTGATGCACTTTAATGGACACCTACTTTTTACTTGGCAACTCCAGGTAAAACTACTTCATGATTAAGCAATACTGGGAAGCATACAGATTGTTGGTGATACCTCTCTCTGGTCATCAGACATGAATGAACCTGACAAATCTTTTAGCACTTCCAGCATATCTTTGAAAGACACCTTTCCATTACGGTCTGTATCATATACTTTAAAAATAACTGCAAAAAAATCTAGTAACTATAAGTACAATGACAATAATAGAAGATAGTAATGAAATTTATTAAGGAAAAGTTTAACAAATCACACCCCCCCCCCCCCAAAAAAACTCAAAAAATGTATTCCCTTTTTCAATGATGAAAATTATTGAATAATTCATATAATTTGAACTCCATATTTGCACAAGCAATTTTAACTGTTTAACTAACTTTGTTGTTGCAGCTATTAGAACTCTAAATCACATCAGCAAAAATTGTTAAAGACTCTACATAGGTAATGAAATCTTCTAACCCAACGTTGGATACTACTCAAAGAACTATATTTCTATCTTAAGAAGCATGTTCAAACTAATATGACTACATGTTATCACTTATAAATGAATCTTTTCTCTCACTCTATGTATTTGGGTCTCATTCTACCCCTTAACAAGTAAGAATCTATCTCATTTCTTTAAATTATATGTGAGATGCAGGAGGGTGAGTCTTGGTGCAACAGTGAGGTTGTTGCTTTGTGATCTAGAGATCACAGTTCCAAATCCAAGAAAACAGCCTACCCGCTTGTGGGGATAAGGCTATGACATCCACCATCTGCAAACTCCACCAAGTGGGAGCCTTGGACACTGGACTGCTTTTTTATTTGTGTGATGCAAAGACATCTAATTCATCCAAATGCAAACCTGAATCTCTTAGAGAATAATCTGAATCAATGGAATGATAACAACTTAACAAGAATGATCTTTGCATAAAAAAAATTGAAAAAATTCAGCATTGGTAAGTGTTCTTGTTTGTATCCACCAAGTACCCTAAAAGTCGCTTCTCTTTTCTTTAGGATAGCCATAGATACTTCTGTTACATTGCCTCTAACTCAGCCTTAGGAGCCCTAATAAAGATGGATTTATAACAGTCCCGATTCCCAAATATAAAATTCTTGTGGTGGAATTGTTTCGATAGAACGACCATGATTGGTTGGTAAGCAGTAATAACTGACAGGGTGAGAGTTATGTTACATAATTGAAAATAATTGTGGTTGGTTGTAATTATTGATAGGCTGGAGTCATTCTTAGCTTTTTATCCAAAAATGAAATTAACCAACTTGCATTGAAGTTTTACATCGGGCTAGATAGGCCAGCCCAAAATTTAGGTAACCTCATCATATGTGTGAGTAGTCCAACCCTTTTTTTGACTGAAATATGGAATGAAGAAAACTGTTGTGGCAAGCAAGAGAGAATCTCATTATCCCATAAATGACTGAGAATGTGACCATAACTGGCCACGTCTATGGAACTGTGACATCAACACTGACTATTTATGTGTCTGCTAAGCAGCAGAGAACGCCATCTTCACCCATTGAACTAAACCCTAGAAATTGACTTAGGTCTTCCCTTGAGTGAACAGTGAGAAAGCAAAATCAATCCTTAACGTACAACTACATCTTCTACCTACCGTAGTTAAACCATAAGTTATAAAAACAACAACGGAGAACATTAAATAACCCTGGTGTACGATGTAACTATAACCTACGCTCTATTTTTTGTTGTGCACTAGCTTTGGCACTGAATGCAGATAAGAAAGCCACAAAGTCTTTAAAATTCAAACCGTCCACCATCTTGAGCAGCCTCTGGAAAAATAAGCACACGATCCATCAATTATGTGAAAATAGATGACACTGACACACCACCCTTTAGCTAGCATATAGTGATGCCATAATAAAGTAGCATCTTATTCTTAGGGTCTAAATGGCCATAAAGAGAAAACAAGTGTGTACCTGAGAAAGTGGATTCATGGCAAATTCAGGAACGGACAAGAACTCATCTGCGGAAATAAACCCCTTGGCATTGCGATCAAGTTGACAGAATCTTTGATATAGGGATACAATTTCCTGCTGGGAAACTGAGTTTGGAAGGGAAAATTCAGATCCTTAACAGAAAAGAATGGATGAAATGAAAAGGGAAGAAGAGAGGGAGGACGGACATAAATGATTGCAGTGTTCTTGAACTTCTTCGATGTCGTATTGAGTTAGCAAAGAAGATGTAGTCCCCATCGATAATTACGCAGAATCTGAAGAAGCATTGGTATATGAAAATGAAATGAATTTAGTGTGGAAGAAGGAAGGAGTTTGAAGCGAGAAGAAAAAAAGAAAGAAGAGTGAAGGGAATTTCAGAAAAGGGGAGAAACCTGGTAGGAAGTCGAAGAAGTTGGATTGAACAGTGTGCACTGGGCGGAGACCTATCTTCCTAGTTGGCCTTAAGACCACCTACGACTGCGAATATATCCACGTGCCTTGCCTTGTCATCATCGACTCTCTTCTATTTACCTGCAACAGTTAACAAACATCCATCCACACTATCATATTTATCCCTAGTAATTAATTACTTTTCTCCTCAATTTAATTTCCTATTTTTCATCAAAAATTTTATATTACTATTTATAAGCCATAAATTGTTTTTTTTTAATTATAAGTGATTATTTCAAGTTATTTAAAACTAAATTTCTTTTATATTCTTAATTTATTATTAACTCTTTTTATTCATTGAATTATAAGTATTTACGTTAAATATAGTAATTACTTAAGATATATATCTTTAAAATAAAATTTAAATTTATGGTGAAATTAATTAAAAATAATTAATTTAATTACTCTCTTTAATCTTAATGATTTGTAAACTATAATTAAAATTAGAAACAGTAGATTGTAAACTTTTATTTAAATACTAATTTTTTTTTAATTATATTCTAAAAAAATTAAAAGAAGTAACAGACTTCATACACAATTATTTTTTTACAATATATATTTATTTTTGTGTTTAATCTCTTAGTCACGTTATTTTTTTTTCTAATTATATTATTAATATAAAAAAATTGATTTTTTTTTTATATTATCGGCCAACAAAACTCAATCATAAGACCTTATATCAAATTCACTTCCTCTAACAACTTGCTGGTACATTACTCATTTTATCGCACATCATTATTTTTATCTCCTGCTGTGCATAAAAGTTATTATTTAACCTTTGATAACTCAAGGTAAATTTTATTCAATTTCTACTAATTTGGCGTAACGTACAAATTCCTTAATAAAAGAAGTTTTTCAACTACTAGGTTTTTTACGAGAACGGGTTTAAATTTAAACATTAGTAGAGCTTGAGATAGATTAATGTTTACCTTTACCTCTTACTCAATATATTAATTAATTTATGATGTTTTGGCTAAATTAGAAAATTGAAGATTGCTTCAACCATTTCACGTCACTTGATAACTTCAATGGAATTAAGTATGCTTCCATTGAGAAATCCAATAACCTACACCAAAGAATATACTACAATAGTAAATTATTCAACATTTCGTTAAAACCTAATAACATGAATGATGCTTGTACAAGAAAGGAGCATGTTACCAAATTAACGTATCAAAGACTTCGCATTTGAAATTAGTTAAATTGAATTTAATAGTTATAAAAAAAATATTACACTTACAAATTTTTTTTTATCGGCACACGTGTTTCTTCGTTGAATATAATTTTAAATTGATATCCAAATATATTCTTATCAAAATTAATGTTCCTTGATAAATCAAACTTCATGTAAGAGAAAGAAACATGTTACCATATTAATGTTTGATCTTGTCAAGGACTTATAACCTGTTTAGATATAAATTAAAAGTACTTTTAAGAATTTCTCTATAAAAAAAATAGAGTATTTTTCAGTAAAGAAATAAAACTCCCAAAAAATACTTCTAAACTTATATCCAAATAGAACCTCATCCTAATTGTCAAAATCGATGTTCCTTTAACAATCAAACTTCGTTTTTCAATCTTTCCTGCTAAGAACGTAGTACCCTTAGGGAACTATCAAGGAAGTGAATGTTGCATTAAACACGATTGCTCTCCTCTACCATTGTTGACAAATCCACCATACTCACCATGGATAATGCATACCGACGTAACTCACTTGCCAAAATCATATGCCATCATAATCTCAAATTTCATTCATGATGATTGATGTACAGAGTACAGTAAAGCACATAGATAAAGCTATTAAGTAATAAACAAGCCAAGAAATCAATGGCTTTATGGAACAGATATTTTTCTTTAAACGGAAGTCATCCAGGCAGGTTAATACAAAAATTGGTTGAGGATCTAACAATTTGACAATGTTTAGATCAAGGCAAGCTCGAACGCGTGCAAGCCTCACATTATTGAAGGCAAAAAGTATCACACTTCAACAGGAATCCAGGTCACGGCAGGGAGGAGGCGTGGGCTCACCTAACAAGGTAGTATTCCCTCCTTCAGGTCCACTCCTAATCCGCCGGGGATTTTGCGTGCCGTGCTAAATAAAAACAAACCAGATTCATAATCCAAGAAGGTATAAGTTTCTAAAATATGGACAACAACGAAATAGATCAAGGCCAATATCCTTACCGGTGGCTTCTCCCCCTTTCTCAGCAATTCCACTATCTCAACTACTCTCTCTGGAGTTACATCTTCCTGGAATCGACATAAATATGACATGTTAGGACCCCCCAACACACAAAAAATATTAATAAAACGGAGGGAAAAAAAAAAGAATAAAGACGAACATAGTAATTATAAGTATATCCCTCCGATCCATTTGAATAATCAGCCACTGTAATCATAGTAGCATTCACACAGCACCCCTGCAAAACACCAAAAACTTCAATCATTCACTTATTGGTCAATCAAGAAAATTACCCAAGAACATTAAGTTGTCAGTTGTCACTCTAGACTACATATAACTGTAATTGTGTCTGGATACCACATTAGGTGATTCTTTTTTTCTTTTCTTTTTTCTGTCAGTTAGATATAAATGTCCCATTAAGTTTGTTCTGGTTTTTTATGTTAAAAATCTAATGGAATTTTTGGATAACTTAATATTACTGGAAAAAAGTAAAACACTAAGTTATAGAGTCCGTAATTGTTATCACTTATCAGATAAATCCAAAGTTATCACAAAACTGTTTACCAAGCAGTCCAATTTTGTAATTCATGTAATTTTTTCCACTCAATACAATTGTAGTTCTAGCGCATATCAAGAAACACTAGGAACTTTATGAAATTAAAATGTGAATCAAATAAAAAAACTCACCATGCATTCCATTTCTCCAACAGAAAACAAACCATCTGGTGTTACTTCTGCAAATCAAAGGTGAAAGGAAACTAATTATTGGAAAGTGCACATGGTTCCAATTTGTCATGAATAAGATCTGGTTCAATGATGGCTGACAGATAAAACTGGAGATATTAAGACAGGTAAGCTAACCATTGCGTTTCACTCCCAAGTGTTTTAATAAGGCTTCTTCAATTCCTTGTGAACCACGTATCATACAAGGTGTTGTTCCACAAACCAACAGATGGTACTTCCCAACCTAAAAGCAAGTTGATCCAAATAAGTTTTGGTCCGTGTTAATGCGGATTAGCAAAATTGAAAGCAGCAAGCACAATATGATTTCACCTTAGCTCGATTGAACATGGAGTAAAATGTGGCAACCTCATAAACCCGTATGGGAGGAACCTCTATAACCTTAGCTACCTGAATAATCCAAAAAACTGTTAATAAAGAATTTATATAGCTTTTTGCTTTAGTAAGAAATTTAAATGGCAGTTCGCAAATGGAGGTGTAAATGAACAAAGCCATTTGTAAACTATTTGGGCTCAGCTTGTTAATTACTCGTTCAAATATGTTTGTTTAATTAAATAAACAAACTCAAATATGTGTGTGAATATATATATATATATATATATATGATATTTCTTCTATAATAAAAGTTTTATATAATCTTCAACTGGTAAATTTTACTAAATAATATATTTTATTCACTATTTATCATTTTTTTAGTTAAAACTATTAAAAAAAAAGTTTATAGTAAAAAGAAAATGATGTTTCAATTGCTTTGAGCTTCTCAATAACTATTCTTTTGCATTGCAACTCAACATCGTGAAGGCTCTTCCAATTTCAAATCAAGTTTTCTACTTTCAAAGCTTTTCTCCCAAATTAAAATTCAACTCCAGAAAGCTCTACCTTCTACTGGACCAATAGACCACTCTTCCAAGTCACTTTCAAATTCAATCTTAAACTAATTTAAGTCTTCCCAAAATAAAAAAGTGCTATTGCCTCTTAAAAAAAATATTAAATTAATTCGCAAAATCAAGTTTCTTTTTTGCAATAGTTAATAAGTTACAATTTTATATTTACCAAATCATGAAAATGGAATAGTCTAAAATTATTTAATTCCATATATCACATGTTATGCACATTTTTCTATTAGTAGATAGTTATCTAACATTAAGATAACTATTAAAGGCTATATTAATAAAATAAACGAATAATTGAAGAAAAATTTCATAAAAGCAAAAATAATTAAGTTATAAATTAGCTAAACAAGCCAAGCTTAAGCCTTCAATAAGGCCCAATTAAATAAATGAGCCAAGCTTGAGCAATTAAATTTTTTCACAAGCCAAGCACAAACTTCAAGAGTTCGGCTCAGATTGAATCATTTACAACCCTATTTGTAAACATTGTTAATTTGGGATTTTCACCGAAGCATCACAGTGACAAGCTCAAGCATTGAGCAAAACTCAACGAAACAATGATGAGTACTTGCATAGAAAACTAATATGTACCAATGTAGTCATCATCACTGGTTAAATTGTGAAATTGCACTATTATATGATCTCACAGCCTTTTCCCAAGCTGGATCAAGCATGAAAAATCATCTAGTGGGATTGGACCAGGATTGTGGAATCAGATGATTTTCCTAGTCCTGCAAATTGTCTTTTCTGGGTCAGGTTGTGCAACCCAGTTCAGTAAAAAGCACTTTTTTCCCTAAATCAGAGGTTCTCTCATTTTCAGACCTATTCTCATGATATACGAACCTCACTCATCCCACCCCATTCTCTCTCCCTCTTCAAACATCTCTCTCTCTCCACACACTAATTTTACATTTTGGTAGGATCTTACAATGGTTGTTATGATCTGCAATCTTGCATCCCCCTCCTGATCCTAAGTAGAATCTTAATCTTGACAACATTGATCTATATCAATAATCAAGCCTTGCCACACATAGATTTTAGACAAACCATGTATGCCAACCAACAAAATGATGCTTTTAGCAAAAGGATTCATTAACTTTAGCAAAAGGCTTCATTATTCTACTTAGTACTTAATAGACACTATCTATGAGCACAATAAACCCAGTTCATTAAATTGCAATCTTGTGTGGAGCACCTTTTCCATTTGACAGGAGTACATGTGACCTGCTCAGAGAATCAGACATGGTCCTTTGATGTGTTTCAAGACATGCTAAAAAGAATACATCAGGCAGAAGGCGAACATACCGCATTCATTGCAGAAACAGGGAGCCACCCTCCATGCTGCTGCTGGGCAAGATCCAAAAGAGGGATCACTGCAGATTGCTTATAATTGGATGGATAGTGAGATAAAATCTCCTTGACCTGTAATTAGCACAGAATAAAATCATTAAATTTTTAAATATGATTATGGGCTAGATACCAGAAAGGATCACATTGAACTAAATATCCATAACTCGTGTAAACATCATGATATAGAACAAATCAATAAGACATCAAATCATATCAGTCTACACTTTTTCAGAAAATAAAGAATAAAGCTAGTCACACAAAAGAGCAATAACAGAAGGGAAAAATGAACAAAGCCGCAATAAATTGCACCACAACACATGCTCAACGACTTTTCACGTCCGCCAATTTTTTTATGTCCAAACCAACACCAGATTCACTATTACAGAATATGTAATATAGAATATACAAGATGACAGAAGATGGTTGGAACCGTTAAAACTATATATTAATAGTGATCAAGCGTCAAATCAATACACAACCCCGAAAGTTTATACAGACAAAACACAGATAGCATTGAACTAATAGTCCTCAGCAGTGCCTATCGAAACATTTATGTATTTTGAGCTTCGGTGATCTACATGATGAAAAAGGATGACAAAGAAGGTAGCCACATTTTAAGTTCGGGTTCTAAAATCCAAATGCGACGAAACATTACCTTTGCGTGGTGTGCATCGGAGAATTCCCATGGGAGGTTAGGGTTGTTGTCCGGTGAGTCAAGGTGCTGTGCCAATAAAAAGTGGATACATAAACAATCACAATCACAATCACGAAACGAAAATCTGAGAAAAATTGAAGCGAAAAACGAAGAGCACTTACGTAGTTCAGAGCGGTTGAGAAAGCCCTCGAAGGCTGAGAAATGGGAAAACCGAAGAATTAAAGAAACAATGAGAATTCGGAAACGGAAGTGAGAAAAAAGGATTGGGAAATGGACGGACAACCTGACGGAAAATTTGACGGATCTCGTTGAAGCGTTTCGCGGCGAGGCGTGCCAGCATTTTCGAACAGCTACACGAAACAGATCGCAGAGAGAGAGAGAAAGTAGAGAGGGTGAAGTGAAGGGTATGATAGTGTAAGAGAACATGGAAACGTGGCAACGTAGTCACCGTTCGATCTCATCAATGGAATTTCGACACGCACAGTGATGGGTTTTGTTTGGGCTTTGGGCCTTTATTGAGCCTACAAGAAGAACTGGAACTTCATATCGAAAAAGGCATGTTGGGTTTTTCTTGACAATGATGTAATGATAACTGGAGATACATTTTCTAATAATTTTTAAACACATTCTTATTTATAAGCTGAAAATTATTAAAAAAATATAAAATCATGAAAGGTAAAAAAAAATCAATCATTAGAACGAAAGGTACATAGTTTTTTTTGTGATAGTCAAAAAATTTCAATCAAATTAAAAGAATATTCAAAAGAGTGTGTAAAATAATGTGTTACAAACAATTTTGTTTTAAGAGTGTTAGGGATACACTTCTTTTACACACTTTTTTCAATGATATAATATATATTTTCTTATTTTTGTGTGGTAGCTGTAAATTATTGAGTTAATTTTATTTTTAAGTTATTCGGTATATAAGAACATCTCCGACTATTGGATTCTTAAATGGATTTTTAATTTATTTTTGTAGTCTATATAACATCCGATTAAACAATTTTTAACTCAATTTTAATCCAATACTAAAGTTCTTAACAAAATTCTTAAATTAATTTTGTTCTCGTTTTTGTTGGATCTCTCAACTAGAAAAAATATTCGTTTTTTATTATGACACAATTGCTTATTCAAATAATTATGTACAATAACTCAATCCTTTTCCTTCAATAGTGAAAATTTTATAAGAAAATTAATGGTGTAAAAAAACTGACAAGAAAGTTAGTAATCCATAAAAAGAGTTAAACATATGTTCTAACCAATAATAGTTATGATAGAAAAATATCTATACTAATTAATTGGGAATCATAATATTGACTTGGACATATCTATATTTATAATAATATATAAAAAGAAATACATTCACCCTCAACTATATTTGATCTCCATTAAAAATAAAAATAAAAACGGTTTTACCTTTTTTTACTTCTACATAATTTATGATTAATGTAAAAATTTAAATCAAATTAACTTTTTTTATATTGTATCTGTGATAATGTATTAAACTAAGTTGATTTTTTTAATATTTCTTTTTATTTAAATAAAACATAAAAAATATGAAATATCTTGACCTACCAGTAAAAAAAATAAAAATAAAAAAGATGACTGAACCGAACTTTTAAAGATAAAAGGTGCATAGATTTAAGAGTTAATCACTTATACACTGCCAGTGTAAAAAAAAATTTACACGGACAGTATAAAGGTGATTAACTCTAGACTTAATCTCATGCATCAATTACAAGTTATTAGATTTCCTAATTTTCAGATATATTTGGTATAATTATGCTAACACTAATTTAAATAATATCAATGGTAATTATGGTATAAAAAAAGTTATTTATATCAACTGAGAAATAGAACTAATAATTTTGTGATAAAATTATTTTGAAAATATCATAAAAATAAAATGAGCCTTAGTTAGGAGGTATACAAGTGTATTTCCATGCACCAAATATAATTATTAGGTTTAGGGTTTAATCCTAAATCCGAATATAATTATTAGGATAGAAGGGCTTAAGATAGTAAAAGTATTAAAATTTTGGTTCAATTTCTGTTATGATTATTTTTGTAAAAAAAAATTATCTTAAAAAAATCGTTATGTTTATTTAAGACCAATGTTTTAGTCTAAATAAATATTTTAGTATAATATAAAAATATTTGTTATATTTACAATTAAATAAAATATATTATAATATAAGGTTTTTTTAAGCATTGGTATTTAAAAATATTGAAATCCACTTCGAAAATAAAGATGTAAATAAGAAATTGAAAAGGATAAGAAGTTAAGAAAAATATTAAGAACACTATCGTTGAAAAAATATTAAAAATATTTTATTGAAATTTGAAAACTAACTCTTCAAAATATTTTTAAAAATATTTATTTTAATTTAAACAATGCATCCAAGAGTGAATAATTATGTTACTCTCACGATCTATATTCAATAATTGATTGAAAGTTGACGAAGACTTACAGCCCATGTTTAGAGAGTATCAATCAATCCTGAAAATGATTTGATAGTAACCATTGTATCCACCATTTTATTAGAATTGAATATCTTTTAAATGAGTAAATATCTTTCAGAAACAAACCATAGTCATGTACTGCCACTTAAGAAAATATTACTAGTTTTATAATAATTTGAAGGGATAATATTAATACATATGTTGGTCCTGAAGAGTTGTTAAAGGTTAACACTAACAGAGAGAGGAGTTGCAGCACAATTGAGTGAGTGATACAATATGGAAGGAATTTCTGTAGTGCCGGTGGAAGCACTACTATCCAAGCGTGTACAAGAAATGGTCCAAAATGGTGAGGAACCACCTCCACCTTATGTTTGCAGAGACGATGAGTCTGCACAAAACGTCCCTTCTGCATCTTCTTTACTACCCATCATTGATTTTAAACTTCTCTTTTCACCAACTAAACAAAAAGAAGAGTTACAAAAGCTAAGATCAGCTCTCTCTTGCTGGGGATGCTTTCAGGTATATAGGTCTATTTATTTAAAGAATTTTCTATAAGTGTAGATTAAAAATAAGTTTTGGAAAAACTAATATATGAGAACTTTTACATGTTAATTTATATATGAATTAGTTTTAACTTATTGATGAATTTATCTAAATTTTCTTCTTATTTTTTTATTAAAAGTACTAATGGAAAAGTTTATTCAATAAGACTCATCTAACTTATTTATAGTTTCTAGATATCACATGCACGAACGATCTTACAAAATCTATGACCTATTTCTGTGGAATTTCAGGCAATAAACCACGGAACTTCAAGCACACTTTTGGATAAGGTTCGACAAGTTGCAAGGGAATTCTTTGAGCAGCCAATGGAGCAAAAGAAGATAATTTCGAAAGGGGTGGAAGAATTTGAAGGGTACGGTGCTGATCCTGCTCCTGAAGAAGGCCAATCTTTAGATTGGTCAGATCGTTTGTGTCTTGATGTATACCCTGAAGATAGAAGGAAGCCAAGCCTGTGGCCAGAAAATCCATCATCCTTTAGGTAAATTAAAACCAAATATTAGACTAACATGGTGTTGGGGGAGGAGAAAGGGAGAAATTTTAAAAACTCCTTTTGATTAGTTCAATTTTTATAAGAAGAGAAGAGGAGTACAAAACTCCTCATCTAATTTTTTTGCTCTCATAAAATATTAGAAGATTTTAAAATATTTTTAAAATACCATTATTTATATTATTAGAATTAAAACTATAAAAGTACAAAAGTTAATTAGTTTTAAAATTTTATTCTCTTCCTCCCTTTGCACCAAACGGACAGTAATAAGTAAGGACCTTCTTAAATCTAAGTTGCTAATAAGTATGCAAACAAATGCTTAAAGTTAGTTCAAGGTTTGGTAGTTGCCTTTTTTTTGTTAAAAATTACTATTAGTAAGTCACACTTGTGCAGGGATGTTTTGGAAGAATACACCGTAAAGATGAGAGAGGCAACAAATCTTATTTCTAGAGCCATTGCAAAGTCACTGGATTTAGAAGAAAAGTGCTTCATGAGTCAATTTGGTGAACAAGCATTGCTGCAAATTAGGTTCAACTACTACTCTTGTTGTACTCGACCTGATCTTGTGCTTGGGCTTAAACCCCATGCAGATGGATCAGGGTACACCATTATACTGCAAGATGATGTTGAAGGCCTCCAAGTCCACCATGATGGAAAATGGTTCACAGTTCCTACAATTTCTCATGCCCTTTTAGTTCTCATGGGTGATCAAATGGAGGTATGTGATTTGATTTGTTTTTATGACATTTTTTTTTTTTCAACAAATGAGTTTTGAACGCAACCTTTTATGACGTAATAATATAACTGTAGTGAACTTTTATGATAACGTGCTTGATAAACACATCTTGCGTTGTACCTAAATATACAATTCTTCATCCAACCGATTTTTGTAAACAAATCATTTTCATCAACTCAAATTATTAATTTTTTCTGAATTTCAATTTTGTGATGGACCCTCAACTTAAATGATTTCATTTTGCTTAACTCTTGGCATGACACAACATGGGTAGAGTACATCAGGATTAGGTGACAACAATATTCCTTTCAAATGCTGCAGATAATGACTAATGGAATTTTCAAAAGTCCTGTGCATAGGGTACTAGCGAACTCCGAGAGGGAAAGAATATCTGTTGCAATGTTCTACACCCCTGAGCCAAACAAAGAAATTGGACCAGAACAAGGTTTGGTGAACGAAGAACAGCCAAAGCTGTTCATGAAAGTGAAAGATTATGCTGATACACATTGGAAATACTACCAGCGAGGAATGAGAGCAATCCATGTAGCAAGAGTGTGACATCACTGTTGCGGTTTGACTGCTGGAGCTCTGAGTATATGATTATAGATCTACCAATGCTGAGTGCGCATGCACACATATTAGAGTTTTCTATTATATTTAGTGTGTTGTTTTGATAAAACTATTGTCGTTAATATTTATAAGAAAGAATGTCACTCGATTAAATAATATAAATAATATGCGTGAATTAATGAGAGCTCAACTCCTTTGAATAAAAAAAAATGATTTATAATATAAAAAGTGAATTTTCCTATTCCTATTAAATGTAAGAATTTCAAGAATCAAATTTCTAAGTAGAATTTATCCTGGATAATTTTATTTCTGACTTTCAAAGATACCAAATTGATTCGTGAGATTCCTACAAATTGTATAAAAGCAAGCTACTACCCAACCGGGACTATTGCTTTCTAAACTATATCAAAGACGAGTAAAGCTTTACTTTTATATGAAATTGTTAAAATAAAATAAAATAACTCAACTTCACATCATGTCTTTAGATGTATAAAATGAATCGTAAAATTAACCATGTTCAGGAACCTTTATAGTATGTTTGAATGAGGAATTTAAATGGAATAATTCATTTATTTAAAGAATTTCAAATTCTTTGAAGTAAAATACCATATTTAGATGGAAAATTTATAAAAAATTTGAAATTCATACATTCATGAAATTCAAATTCTCCCAAAAAAAGTAAGAATTTAAAATTCTTCATATTTTTTTCTTCTTATTTCACTTATATATTTTATTTTATCTCATATTTCTTCATATTTTTAATTATTGAATATTATCTAATATTAATTTTTAAAATTATTAAATATTTAAAATAAAATCAAATTATTATATTCAACCCAATAATTTAAAATTTGAGAAATTTGAATTAACTTATCCAAACAAAATATTTTAAGAATGATGGAAATTAAAATCAAAGTAATTCAAATACCAAGAATTTAAAATTCCTTGAATTTGTAAAATTTCTCATCCAAACACACTATTAAATTTCAAAGAAAACATTACAAAGATGGAAAATTAAACATTCATATTGGCAAAAAGTCAAAAACTAGATTTTGTAACAAATTTGGCGTTCTCATATATAAGAGTTTCCTAAAGGTGGAGAGGCTATTTGCTACAAAGAAAAGAAAAAGAAGAAAAAATGACTCGGTTGTCAATGGCAAACCTACTCATTCAGCTCCAACAAAAATAAGATTACTTGAAAGCACTTCTTGTTCTTAAAAGATCTTAAAAAGCAAGCCTCCATGGGTAGCGAAAAAGGGAGCAAAAACAAGCGATTCAACCGCCATGAGCTTAATAAGGATGTTGAGGGAAGGGCCCGAAGTATCCTTAAGAGGGTCTCCAATGGTGTCACCAATAACAGCTGCTTTGTGTGGTTCAGATCCCTTTGGGCCCAATGTCCGGGCATGTTCAGAAGCACCGGCCTGAAATTTGAAGCCCACGTGGAATTTTATTACTAACCAAAAATCCTACAAAATAATATTTGAAATGAGCCCTAAGTTTTCTACATTCTTATTACCTCAATGTACTTCTTTGCGTTATCCCAGGCACCACCGGTGTTAGATGCTGATATTGCGATCTAATGTCAACCACACAAGAACAAGTTTAAGCAAGACAACTTCACTTGAAGCTATAAATTTCAATCAACCAATACCAATTATAAGAGTAACATCATTACCTGCACACCAGAAACTAGAGAGCCAGCAAGAACACCTGAAAGAGTTTCTACGCCAAAAAGGATACCAACGATAAGTGGTGTAAGCATGACAAGGGCTCCTGGAGGAATCATCTCCTTAATTGATGCATCAGTTGAAATCTTGACACAGGTAGCATAATCAGGCTTGGCATGACCCTCCATGAGTCCGGGAATGGTGTTAAACTGCCTACGAACCTCCTCAACCATCTTCAAAGCTGCACTTCCTACACTCTTCATGGTCATGGCCGAAAACCAGTAAGGAAGCATGGCACCAACTATGAGTCCAATGAAGACCTTGGGAGTCAAGACATCTACTGTTGAAATTCCTGCCCGGCTGACAAAGGCACCAAATAAGGCCAGAGACACTAGTGCAGCGGACCCAATAGCAAATCCCTAGGCACAAAATAGATTTAAGTTAAGTAACAATTACACATTAGCGAACTATAACTAGAAGTTTAACTGCAGATAAATTTCATGATCTAGTAAAGAATGCGACCAACATAATTAGAATTTCATTCCATACAATAAGAAAGCAACATAAAGGCTCCGGTTTCGCAGAGCTCTCCCATACAGTGATATTAAATTCGTTCCAGCATTAATAGATTGGCACAGACAACCTATGTAACTCAGCGGTATCAACCAGAAAATGTGACAGGCTGCTCAGTGCTCAGAGATAAAGCCTAAAAAGGAAAGCAACCCCCAACAGGAGAAACACATACCTTGCCAATGGCAGCAGTAGTGTTGCCAGCAGCATCAAGGGCATCAGTTCTCTCACGGATACGATGGCTCATGCCTGCCATCTCAGCAATACCTCCTGCATTGTCACTAATAGGCCCATAGGCATCAATAGCCAACCCAGTAGCAATGGTGCTAAGCATCCCGAGGGCAGCTACAGCAATACCATACATTGCTGCAAAACTAAAACTCACAAAAATGCTGACTGCAATGGCAAAAATAGGAATAATGACAGACTTGTATCCCAGAGCAAGGCCAAAGATAACATTAGTTGCAGCTCCAGTTCGGCAAGAATCTGCAACATCTTGTACTGGGCTGAAAGCAAATAAATAATGATATAGGTCAAGGCCAAAAGAGAAAGGGAAGAGTACAAAACTTCAATAACATTCAGCTACCTGTAAGCATTGCTTGTATAATATTCAGTCACAAAGCCAATAATAAGTCCAGCCCAAAGACCAACACCCACACATAAGAACAGCTGCCTGAAATTTTCGGCCATATTATATTAGTAGCTGGATTTCAGGGGTTAACCACAATCAAAAAAACAAGCTTAAATATTAGTTGATAATCATGAATGGTCCAAAAAGTACAGTGTGGAAGAAAATATGCACAAAGTTTTGATGATGCCAAAGCATTGAAGAAAATAAAGGTCAAGTTAAAGCAAGTTAATCAAGAAGCAAGATCTCAAGTAATAACTAGATAAGTCTTGACTGGTTTGCTTAGTATGTAAAATGAACTTTTAAAACTAGCAAATTTCACTTTGCCATTAAAATAAGGATTTCAAGAAAACCTAAACTTATTCTTTTTGAATATAAGAATAAGTTGTTTGAAAAGAAAGCAAAAAGAGTATTCGAATGATTAAACAAAAATATTTTTAACTGGAAAATAGAAGTTTTCTATATCTTAAGTTTTCATAAGTTAATTCGATGATATTTGTCTAGTAATCGATTACCACTTGATTTAATCGATTACCAGAGAAAGAAAATTTCTTTGTTCAAGGTTCAAATGTTAAAATGTTCTCTGGTAATCGATTACCAGTCATTGTAATCGATTACCAGTCATTGTAATCGATTACCAGTCATTGTAATCGATTACCAGAAGATGAAACTTCAAAATTTGAATTTAAATGATACAACGTTTCAAATATTTTGAACTTAAACCGTTATAATCCATTACCAAGTCTTGTAACCTCTTTTCTGAAAAAAATTATAAAGAGTTACAACTTTTCATGAAAAGACATAACCTAAGAAATAATTGTCTATAAATACCTATAATTTTTTAAAGAAAGGTTACGAACTCTAATGTGAAAACCTATTTACAAAAACTACTTGACCAAAATCATTTGCAAAAATTTCTAAAGAGTTCATCAAGTTCTTAGAAAGTGTAATATCTACTCTTCAAAGAAAGTCATTCTGTAATACCCAATTTATCATTGGATCTGTGAAGGAAAAAGGATTTTTCTGCTTGTTGATTTTTGAATCTCAACACAAGGAAAGAGAGTTCTGAAGTGTTGGAGAATTCAAGTCTTGTAAAGTTTACAAGAATAGTAAAAATTTCAAGTGGGATACTTGAGGACCGGACGTAGGCAGGATTAGCCGAACCAGTATAAAATTGAGTTTGCAATTCTTCTTTCCTACACTTTTAATTACTTGTTATTAATTGTGATTGAGTAGTTTGCATCATCATTCATTCTTTACATATAAATTTATCTAAGGAATTGAATTTGTAAGAAAGTAATTCGAAAAAGTTTTATAAGAGGAAAATTTGGAAAACTTAATTCACCTCCCCCTCCCTCTTAAGTTATACGAGCCTACTTGACTAACATACAGCTACCAATATCATCAAGAAAACTTGTTAGGAATAAAAAAAAATGAATTATAAAAGAATTTAGCCCAACATGACTCAAGTCAGAAACATAATTAAAATTGAAAGGCATGGCATGCAAAATAAGTGTTTTGTTCTAGTAAATAATTACGCATTACCAGCTCTTCACTTCTTTCTGAGCCCCAAAGTTGAAAATTGTGAAGGAAGATGGAAGGGCAATAAAACTAATAATTGCAATTCCAACAGTCATCAGAACAGTTGAGATGATAAGCTGTTTTTTCAATGCTGGTTCAATTTCCTTGACTGCCTTGATCTCAAAGAAATCAGTTGCAAATAGAGTAGTGATCAAACAAACAAGAATACCCATAGAACTGATAAGTAAGGGATATAACATGGCAGTGAAATCATGGTTGATTCCAAATGAGGAAATTGAAGCAACAACTAGGGCAGCACAGGATGATTCAGCATACGAACCAAAAAGATCAGAACCCATCCCAGCAATATCTCCAACATTATCACCAACATTGTCAGCAATCACCTGAAGTGACCATAGAAAAGGCTCGATACAATTACTAATTCAGTAAACAATCACTGGAAAACGGAAGTGATGGGAAAAAGGGCCAAATGCAACTTACAGCTGGGTTTCTTGGATCATCCTCTGGGATATTTCTTTCAACTTTTCCAACCAGATCAGCTCCAACATCGGCGGCCTTGGTATAGATACCACCTCCAACTCTCCCAAACAGAGCCATGGAAGACCCACCCAGACCATACCCAGTTATAGCCTCAAAAAGGCCTTCCCAGTCATCACCATAATATAGCTTGAAGAGATTGATGGCAATGTACAGCACCAATAGACCATTTGCTGCAAGAAGGAAACCCATTACTGCACCAGATCTAAATGCAGTAATAAATGCCTTTCCAACTCCCTT